TTCCCTTGAAAAAGCATTGAATGTTTACCATGAAATATCTAAAACTGCACCTCCCTTAAGATACCTTACATCTAAGAAACCAATTCTCACAAGTTTTTTCACGTGTAGAAGCAGCGGTTTAAATGCAACTCCAGCAAGGCTGGTTAAACAAATGCAAACATTTTAATCCCAAAATCTGTGCTTGTTTGTGAAAGGCTTTCTCTCAGGACTTAGAATGCTAATGCAAAAAAATGAGAAGACATTCAGTTCTGCAGATGGCTTTGACCTTGTATGACCAGCTTACACAAGACCATTGTGATATATTGGCAATGCACGCTAGTATTGTAATTTTGAAATGCTGGTCTAAGAGCCAATAACATTGTTCATAGTCTAAGCCCTTCATATTCTGGCTTGAATTGACTGCAGTCCTATTAAAATCAATGGAGCTCACACATGAATGTATATGGAGTATCACAACCCTAATTTTGGCAAGCTAACTGTGCTTGGGCTTTTAATAGATAATAATAATTTATGTGTTCTGCTTGCTGGTGCTTTCACTAAAGAGTCAAGCAGCTTTCAGAGACAGAGTATGTATAACACATGCTCTTATCATCCAACACTAGTCATAATTTTGAAATAATTGTATCATTTTATAAACATACTCAGAATAAAACTGCAAAATGTACACTTTCCCTGGGAACATTTACAACTGAATTCAAACTAATATAAAGATGTTTAACCTTAGATGGAATGTATCTTCATTTCTGAAGTGGGGAAATTATTGCACTTTCAAAATTTATTTTATGTTGTATATTATAGGCTGGAGTTGCTATCAATACATTCTGCTTTAACTAGCCACTCTTTTTTATGATTTCAGTTTCAGCCTGACTCAACACCTTGTTAACCTACATTTGTGTATCATATACTGTTGAATGATTTTCTTATTCATCTACTGTAAAATCTTTGTTTATAGCCTTGGGGTTGGAACCATTATGGACAGGGTCAGGTGTACCCCCTCTCCCCCCCTTTTATCCACCATGCAACCACGGAAAATGAAAACCAAAATAGTCATAGAGACAGTGGTGGGTTGCTAACCGGTTTACTACCGGTTTGTTCATGCTCGTGCATGCGCTCCAACACACAACACTTTTGTGCATGCACAGAAGTGTTCATGTGGGTGGGCAGAGCCTCCCGCCGCCACCTCTACCAGTTCGGCCGAACCGGGCCGAACCAGGAGCAACCTACCTCTGATAGAGTGCTCTCTTCCTCAATCACATACATCACAAGGTCCATGTCAACCTCAAGTAAATAGTTTATGCAGCCCTGGCAGAGAGGGGTGAGGGAGAGTTAATTTAGTTCCAAATTTGCTACAATTTGTTGAACAAACCATTATGACATGGCACATTGTCACTTAACATTGAGCCATGATAATTTTGTATATTGCATTATATCAAGCCAAAACCAAACCAACCACTTTATGGTATTGTGTGTGTATCAGAGTGGGTATGATTAAGTGCTTCAGCAGTATAACAAGTCACAAAATATAGCTGTAGGGACAGAAAATCCCATTCATTGAAGCCAATCTGCTGCATGCCAATTATGAACATTTTATATTGCACCTTAACATCTCATGTTAAGCCTAAACAACAGAGCTGGGGGTGGACTGCAACAACTGAAGAGCACTGCAGCTGAACCATTGTTCATCCCTAGCTTATAAAAGTAGCAATTTGCCCAATATAGTCTCTGGTTCTTTGTACTAGAAGTCCTGATGCTTGGTGTAACAATCTGAGATTTAATCTTTGGCATTCCATATAGATCTGTAAAAAATTGTATTGAATCCTCAAAAATTGCCAGTCAGGGCAGGTAAGACTATTACATGATCTAACTCAATATGACTCAATCTGTAAAGTAATTATATTACACAGGATACACAGGATGTGCTACACAGGATGTGTTCAGTGTATCCCATATTCTCCTTTCACGTATTAGCAAGAGGCTTGAAGCAGATCACATACTTAGGGCCAAAATATTGTGCTTTGTCTAGATTCCATCTAAAGCATGGATGATGTCAACAGTCTCTGTGGTTTCCAATCATATCTTCAAAGCATCCGCCTACATACATTTTTAACTACCAAGAGGCATCAATGCTATTAGAGGTCAGCTGGAGAGAAAAACTCTGAAGACATGGACCAAAGGAAGGTAAGTCACAGACAAGATTTTACATTCACTATTGCAATGCTCTTTCTATTGTTAACAATTTATACACTTTTTTCCTAAATGATTTCCCCTTCCCGCCGCCAAACGATTCCTACATTTAATGACATTGTCACATTCACTTTGAACCTGAAATCCAAACATATTGAGCACTGTATTGTTTATGAGCAACTCTCCCAAGGAATGTATAATTAGAAAGAATTTGACTTTATGCAGTATGCAAGGCAATAATCTGATTGGTTTGGTTTTAGCTTGGTTAACCCAGCCATCATGATTCATTCAGTAATCCATGATTTAACAAACTATCATTTAGCATGTTTGAATCCAATCATAATTTTGGCGCCCTCAAATGACCAGATCTTGGTTGCATAGCATGCTCATCTGAAAGGATGGGAAGATCAAGATTTCAGGAAAATGGCTGACTGAAGACAGTGCTGCAGACAGGTAGAGCTGATGATTGCAGCCTTGTACAAAGTAGCCAAAGCAGATCAACTACCTTTGATTTTCTCTGAATCAAGGTGAATGACATGAGATTGCCCAAGCTGTTTTTCCTTATGGTCCTTCTGAAGAGACGGCAATCTTGGAGGTGGGGCAGGACCAGAAGATGGGGGAATTCATCATTTTGCTTCAAGTGCAAACTGGAGCCTTTTAAGGACACTAAGTTCATGTATTTCCCTTTAAGGAAATTATACACCTTATGAATAACAAGAGGAAGCACCAGGTGAGTGGATGCTGTTAATCCTCAATATAAGAATATGAAGATTTGATTTTATAATTTTTAAGAATTTAATGTTAAGAAATTTAGATCATGTTTTGGCTACAGGAAGTTCTAAGGGTTCAAAATATTCAGAGTTTGGAGCTTTCAATATTAATACTTTGAAACTATTTTTTGAAAACAATACATGTATAATTGGAAAAGAAAGAATGTTTTTGAGTTTTTGAGGTGTAAGACAAGCAATTTATAATGGTATTTAGAGACATATTTGAAGAACTGTGTAGGGATCTGTACCAAGAAAAGAAAACTATGTCGTGTCTTCACATTGTGAAGAACATTGTGTTATCACAGAACAATTTGTCCAACAAAATGTACTTGAAGAGAATGTGAACACTTTGAAGTAAAATCTTCAAAATACACTGGATGAGGCATTAAAAATAAAAATAAAAAAGAAATAAAAATGAGAATACCAGGAAATAATGCAATAATTTCCCTTTGTTGGATTTATAAGAAAAACTGTTTAAGGCACTAAAGAAATTTGGATAAGGATCAACAACCGCCTGGATGGATTGCAGAGAAACACTTTCTTATGTAAAAGAAAATTAAAAAATTATAAAGTTGGCTTATTCTAGCAGAGATAAATAGGTTACATTGTTATACAGGATGATTCTTTCTGAATTAATGCTGTTGTACTGGATTTGCCTAAAGTAGATATTATGTATACGCTTCTTCTCAAAGAGTTATTTTATGTAATTATGATTTTTAATATTGGTTTTATATTTAATTGTTTTTCTTTAGTTAAAGTAAGGAAGTTTGGAGAATTTTTTTTAAATAAGAAGAAATTAATTATTTTTGCTCTATCTAAAGGGGATTTTTTTTTGGCTCTATTAGGATATTGGGGTTATTATATAGTTGTGAAATGTGGATGCACCTACAGGGTAGAGATGAGGAAAATGTAAGATGTTATTTAGAATATTTTGCATTGGGACTTTTTGTTTCTAAAGGGGATTTTTCCCCCGTAATTTTTAAATTTGGTGTTTTGAAAATGTTGTTTGTTGAGAATATTGAGACCATTTCATGGATTAAATTAAATGGAGTTTTCTTCTAGTTAAGAAATAAATTGTGGAATGTTGAGTTTTATATGTGTTAATTAATGTTAAAATCTTAGGGGCCTGTATGGATCTTTTACTATTAACTGGATTGAAGAAGATGTCACTTATTTGATTTGATTTGAAAAGGGTTATGTGGATGAAGAGTTTACAGTTGTTAGCTAAGAGGAAGTGAAGAGATTAGGGAATTGTTTACACCTGCTATGAAGGGGATGGAGTTCTTTTCTTCTCTTTATACATTTATTTTTCTTGTAATTCTTTTCTTTCTTTTCCTTAGTCTCCATTATCTTTTATTGTTTTATTCAAACCTTTAATAGGGATTATTTGAGGGGGAAATGAAAGGAAGGAGAGATCAGAATACGCTGCAAACTAAAAATAAAACAGGAGCTGCTGCATTTAGAGATGATTAGTTGAAACCCAAGTCAGACCTGGATTTCTTTTTGATTAAACTAATGACCCCAAGTCAGCTATGTCACCCAAAAATGGAAATGAGGGCCGACATAGCTGCCAATCTTCTGTTGCCAGAGACAAGGGCCTTGAATGACCCTGCACAAAACAAGCTTCTTGATTGTATCTGTGTAGGGAAGGAGAAGGTGAAGATACAATATTTTGTCTGCTGGCACTCTAATCCCAATTATAACACCAGGAGTTTTTCTTTAAAGTTTTCACCCTTTAAGAAAGAGAAGACAGCCATTGTAAAGAAAGATATAATATTCCCAAATGAATTTCGGATAGCTTTCCTTTTTTACTTGAAAGTCCGGCACTCCTTCACTGGAGTGTCATTTACTTAGGAAGAGCAATAGACTGGATGTGGAATATGTCAGGGAATCTAGATTAGCTGTGGGATACATTAATGCAAGGGTGAAATTCAGCAGGTTCTGACAGGTTCTGGAGAACTGGTAGTGGAAATTTTAAGTAGTTTGGAGAACTGGCAAATACCACCCCTGGCTGGCCCTAGAGTGGGGTGGGAATGGAAATTTTTTCAGTAACCTTCCTCTGCCATGCCCGCCAAGCCACACCACACCCACAGAACCAGTACTAAAAAAATTGAATGTCACCACTGCATTAACATAACAAAGTCATATCACCATTTTATCTCTGTATTATTAGGACATTGGAGAAGTTTCAAGGTAGATATTGTGGATACGCTTCCTTATGAAGGGTTATTTTGATTTTATTATAGAACTGTAAACAGCCAGATACTATTATGTGACATATTTACTTGTAAACAGCAATTTCCTATTAGAACCTTTTCTGATAAGTAAAGTTTAATATCCCACTACAGCCCTAGATCACAAACAATCACCAAGCACTCTAATACTAATCTAAATGTTCTCCGGATATGTTGGGAATCTAACTCACATTGTTTTCAGCTGTTGCCCATGTTAATTAGGAATTAGGGGGACATGACTGTTTGAGGAATGGCGAATACTGATTTATCTGAAGGAAAGAGAAGACAAATCAAACCAGAATCACAATCCACACAATTTAAATGCCTAAACACCAACAGTTACAACAGCTCTCCTTTATGCTATAATCATAACACAGATGAATCTATTACAACAGACCTGCAATCATGCACTGCAGGGGAAAATGATCCATTTGGAACATAGAATCCTCCCCCTTGCCTCAAAGATGTGCTCCTTCTAGTAGAACCCAGGAGGTCAATTCTTGGTGAAGTGTAACCCTGGAGAAGCAAGTGCTATGGATGCTTTTTTGAGTGTTCATCCTTTCATGAGGGCAAGAGCGTGTCTATGGTTACACATAGCCTATGTGATGGATGATCATGGTGTGCTGGTGCTACAGATTCAAGAATAAGCCCAATCCTTTATTCTCATCTAGGGCTGATAGCAGAAAGCTGATGCTCTCTCTTGGAGTAGTTCTTGACACAAGTGACAACTCCAGCTTCCTATAAATAAAGATATAGAAAAGTTTAGATGTTGAAAAGACATTCTAAATCAGGGGGTGTCAAACTCAAGGCCCAGGGGCTGGATCCGGCCCACGGAATACTGAGATCTGGCCCACAGGGCTGCTCTGAAAACAGCAAAGGATCAGCCTGCGGTGCTTCTGCCAGCAAAAATGGGCTTCCGAGCTCTGTTTTGGGCTGCCACGGCCTCCTGCAACCCTATGCCAGTGAAAATGGAGCTCTTTTCACTGACAGAGGATTGCAGGAGGCTGTGGCAGCCAAAAACAGAGCTCAGGAACCTGTTTCGCTAGAAGAGCACTCGGGCCACCACAGGTGCCCCTGGCATGAGTCGAGCTGGCCACGCTCACCTGCCCACCCGAGGTCTAATACAACCCTGATGTGCCCCTCAATGAAATAGAGTTTGACACCCTTGTTCTAAATGATATCCAAGTCTGCAGATAAACAAGGCTGGTTCAATTTGTGTGCACTTTGAACAATAGCAGTAGCTTTGTTTCTTATTTTATTTTCCAACCAAATACTAGCCACACTTGACTCTGTTAGCTTTTAGGGATCAGCCAAGATTAGTTCCTCTTGCCCCCTGCTTTAGGCAACTTCTGTTAGGAGAGAAGTTATTTTTGCATATATGTTTTATTTATAATTTTCCTTTAACATCCATACATATTTTCTGGACAGTGTATTGACTGGTTTAATATATTTTTTACACAATGCTAAGAATAATAATACAATTAAATATACATAATCATAGTCTTCCAACTTCTAACCTTAATATGCACATTGTAATTATAATAAATTATAATAAATTATATTGTATATCAGTGTGTGTACTACTATTTTTCCAATTTGTACTCATCTCTCCGCCCCCCCCCCCATTTGTTGGGGTATTGTTTAAAGACAAAGATGTGAATGTAGAAAAGAGGAGTTATTTTGAAGGGCATCAGAAGCTGCCCAAGTATTTGGGAGGAGGTTCCTGTAGACATTTTTCATATGTCCTATAGTAGTGATGGCAAACCTATGGCACACGTGCCGGGAGTCATGTTGCCTGGCATGCACAACATCGCCCGTTCCTCTTCCAGGTTTCTGGCACACATGCATGTGCTACGATCACTTGGCCTTCGTGTGTGCAGCAGTGATAGAAACTGGAAGAGCTGATCTTCCATTTTCGAGCATGAGCATGCACACACTGGCCAGCTGATTGTTGTGTCCACATGTGCACCAGTAACCAGAAGACTAGCTGGCTGGCGTGCATGCACGCACCATTTTCCAGCACATGCATGCCTCCTGGGCAGTTCTTCTGGGTTGTGGCCCAGACGAGCATGCTGAAAAGATTCACCATCACTGTCCTATAGTATGTCTTTCTGTTTTCATTAACTGCAGTGACTACACAGAAGTGTAATAACTTGTGAGCTAGAATACATTAGCTTCCCTTACATTAGCAGCAGTTTATTTCAGTGGCGGTCATGGTGGTTTAAAAATATCCATTTCAGTTTTAAAAGAGACTCATAATCTTCATTACAAGTTTAAGTGTTATTGGCTGTCATAGGAAAAATACTTACCTCATTCCAAAAGTCTTACCAAAAGGTTTATTTTTAAAATGTATATGACTACACAATTTGGTTCATGGAAAAAGAGTCACAATTCTGTCCATGTGCAGAACAACAATTGAAGGAATACTATAGATCACTGCATTGAGGGCTCAATGAATAATCGCATCATTCCAAGGAAAGGATCCACTGGAATTACCCACTCAAACCAGTAAAGGCTGGTAGAAAGAGTAAAATATTTCATAGAATTGGCAGGCAGCCTCCATTCACTGTGGGTGGAGACATTGGAGCCATAGGAGAATTGCATGATTTAATCAACTGATTTCCCCAAGGTATGCTTATGAGCCTCATCACACGCTTCAGAGAATTATTGCCCTAACTTCTACTGAAGAGGCCTATAAACTATTAGATTTTTTTCTCTAATCAAATTAACCTTTCTAATCAATAATAATTACTAGTGAGGAAGAGAAGGAAGTGTTTCCAGTGAGACTGGATTTCCATTAGCTTTATTGTTTTGTTCACTGCTGGTATTTTCAGTATTAACATTGATCATTCAATATTGATCATTTCAATATCTGGACGGACACTATAGCTAAATGTGACCTAAGGAAATCCTTAGATTTGTTGCTATGAAATTAACAAGATAGAACTATTGGAAAAAATCAGGAAACTGCTTTAAGCAGCTTTTTTGCCATGATTTGCATTGTTTATGTTATTTTGACTATAATTTCACATGGGAAGTATGATATAGCAAGACATACCCCACATGGGACAATCTCCCTATTCCTTTCCTCTGGCTTTCAAAAATCTGCTTCAGCAATATGGGAAAAGAACGATGCCGCCAAAACACGTATATGAATATTTAAATGATATTGATTGGGCTCTTGTGAAATGATTGGTATAGATATTCCAAGCAACTGTACCTTCTGGAGGTTCAGAGACTGGTGGGTTTAAGCAATACATATGGTAACCACGGTCACAGTCATCACAGAAGAGCAACTGGTCCTGATCCAGAATTGTTGAGGAAAAAAAGAAAAAATATATACATTATTCAATCTAGCTAAAAACATGTAACCCTGCCCATTGTTGTACTGAAAAGTTAATGTGTAGTGATAAGGAACCAAAGAGCACACCAGTAACTATGGATAAAGAGACTACTTCCTACAAACACTCATTTTGTGCTGCATTGTCATGTTCCTGCAATCTAACTAACTTGCACATTGCAACATGCATTCGAAATAGAGAAAAAAAATCTCATTTAGAGAGATTAATCTGAATCTGAGTGGCGAACAACAATGCAAGTAGGAATTAGGGGGGAAATGTTACAGAACTGCTGATAACATTCAACCTAATGTTCCTGTGCATATGGATGTTGTGGTTTTCCTTCTCATTCTCAAATGCCTTCCAGAAGTGATACATTTTCCGAACAAGTCTGAATAAGTGGGTGGGCCAAATATCCAAGGGGAGGCTATTCCAAAGGAGGAATACTCTAGACCTGTGATGGTGAACCTATGGCATGCGTGCCACAGGTGGCATGTGGAGCCATTTGTCAAGGCACGTGAGGCATTGCTCTGTCAGTTGGCCAGCGGGCATGCATGCACTGTCCAACTAACTTTGGTGTTCTTTTGAAGCCATTTTTCACCCTCCAGAAGCTTCGCTGAAGCCTCCAAAGTGAGAAAAACCAGCCTTATGGGCAAACCGAAAGTTCATAAATGGACTTTCAGTTTGCTGGTAGGGCTGTTTTTCATCCTCCAGAGCCTTCAGGGAAGTCACCATTCCTGAACTTCTGGGTTCCCTGTAGGTCCATTTTTTTCCCTCTGGAGGCTTCAGGGAAGCTCCTGAGGCCTCCAGAAAGCATCGGAGGGAGTACACCCTCCCCAGGCTCCTAGACAGTCTCTGGAGCCTGGGGAAGGCAGAAAAACAGGGCAAAAGTGGGGGGGGGGTCACTGATTGCTGGGGAGCACACATGCAAAGCATTATGGGTGTGGCATACCGGCACATGCCCCTCCTGTGCTTTCCTCCGCTTTTGGCACAGCAGCCAAAAAAAAATTTGCCATCACTGCTCTAGACCACCCAGAAGAGGTCATGGCAGATGACATTCCCTTGGAGTCTTCCCGGTCTGATCTCACCAGTTGGGCAGATTCAACTCAAATCTTGAATCACACAATGTTTTACAAGTGACAACTATTACCTTGAATTGCACCTCAATTAATTGGCAACTAATAAAAGCATCCTTAGTCGTATTTTTCTATGAGAAAATTTGGGTTTCCACAGACTGTAACTGCAAAGTCTTCCTGCTCAACCCAAGGTAAAGATATACAACTGGATACCACTGGCATATTGATGGTATCTCATCCCATGCTGAGAGATTATTTCTCCCAGTCTCTGCATGTATATATTGCTCAGAGCACCACTTAGGATAGAACTACATATGCATGCCAATTAGAAAAGGTTTCTTTTAGATAATGCATCAAAAATGCATAGTGTCTTTAAAGGTCATCCCAAAGATGCTTTTCTTCTCCAAGAGGCAACTGGACTTTCTGGTTTTTTCTTTGAAGACATTTGTTTCTCATCCAGGAAGCTTCTTCTGTTCTGACTGGATGGTGGGGAGTGGATGAATGGATGAATTTATATTCCTTGCATACATTTGCATTGGTCATTTGCATTCTTTTAGTGGGTCATTAAGGTCACCTGGAGATTTATCTGTGTCATCAGGGTCACCTGAGTGGTGCAAATGGCTGTGGAGCCTTCTTGGAACTGTTGAAAGGACTGTGTTGCAGATTGGAGATAGAGGATGTTGTATCCCCCCCCCTTTCTGTTGAGTGAGGGCTGTTCAATTTTGACATGGATGGCGCCCTAAAGGTCCTTATTTTACTTGAGACACTATGGGTCATCACTGTTCAAATCCAATACACTCTGTAGCAAAACCATCATTTTATAAGAGCCTACCATCGAGTGGCATCCATCACAGCCCTGAGCTCCAGAACTGACTGGATGCAGTTGCCATTAGATAGGCATTTGCAATAATTTGAAAAGAGACAACCTCTGAATAGGATTGAGACTTTTGCTCTTGATATATTGTTAGAAAAAGCACCTCTTCAAATTTGTTCAACTTGCTGCAAGCTCTGTAGTAAAAATGACATGACTGGGGCAAATAATGTCCAATAAAGGCCTTTGAGTCATATCATTTGAACCAGCACACAATCCTTCTGGGGAAGGAAGTATTGCTCTTAAAAGATGAATTGTTTTCCTAGCTGCTAAGATTCAATCTACTTGGATCAGACTCTGTATTGCCACAAAACAGACAGGTTTGGTCCTTTAAGTAGTCCCAAGTGAGAACCAAGGAAGCAATTTTGAAGGGGACAAAAGGGAAAAAGGATGAGCAAGTATACTGTAACTGAGTGGGTATGTAGAATTTACAAAAAGAATTCCCTTCTGCTGCTTGACTGTCTTGAGCTCAATGAATAAACCCTGGACATCATGTACATTAGTTTGCAACTCATTATTACAAATGGCTAATTTAGGTACGGATAACAAAGATAAGCTTACGTCATTCTCAGAAGTTCCACAGAGGCTACAGGATTTGCATTCGATGCATTGCCACTGATAGGTTTTGACAGCCTCTGTCATATTTGCTGTGAACTGCAGGCACGTTGGGTGACCTGGAGGAATGAGAAACACCTCAGCTGAGTAGGCGGCACTTTGAATGGTTTCTTTGAATTAAAGTCATACAGTTCAGGAACAAAACAGACATGGACATGGACCAATCACAACATGGGTTCCAAACTAATGGATATCAAAGAGGAAAGCAAGCATTAACCCTTTTGCTGCCGGGCACAAGAAAAATAAGTCATTCCTTCCCACTGCCCCATTGGCAAAGCAATTTTATTCAGAGCTCTTAAAAACCTTGTGGTTGTTATTTTCCTTTTAATTAAAAAAAAAGGCAAGACAACTGAGTCGAAGGAAGGAAGAATAGGCTTTTCCTCTTCCTTTATAAATGAAGGATTTGGAGGGAACGATTTTTTTTTCCATTGAAGATTTATTTGAACTGATTGAAACGTAACTACAATGCAAATTCATACGTCAGAAGGACAATTGGGCCAACTTATATTTTTAAGAGCTCTGCACTACTAAGGTTAGCCTGCATAGAAGAAATCAAACTGCACAACTAAGCTTTCAGGATCAACCAAAAAAAAAATCCCCCCCAACCAATACAAAACAATTTATAAAAGGAAGAGAAGTAGGAGAGCTAGCAACAGGGGAAGGACAACTACTGCTGAGACTCTAGACCTTCCCTACATGCGTGTGGATGGTTTTGCCAAACAGCAGGACTACTATAGCAGGATCAGCAATGGGGAGTTCTGGAAGAGGGGTGATACAAACAAACAAACATAAGGTAGGTTCAACGTTCTTTCTTTATAACAATATAAACAATAAGGAAACAGCCCGTTTTGTTTCTCCCCCATCCTTTGCCCTATCTTCTGTGTTTCTGCCGTAAGTAAATGGCATCATTTTTTTAAAAAAAAATCTTTTTCATCCAATGTTCCCCCCCTCCCCCCAAATTGTAACATGTAGCAAAATATCCATGTGCAGAAGCAGAGAAGGATACAAGACCTGTGTGTACCTCTGTACTAAACGAGGCATTTTATATTTGTGGTATTCAACAAGCCTTGGTGGAAAGTCATTAGCAAAGGATCTTTGTTCACAACAAAGACAGTGATAAGGAACAGCAGCTAAAAATGTGTGATGAAAATTCCCAGATAACTTATTCTCCCTCTGTTATTTCTTTTCCTCATAAATGTAGGTAGGCAATGTTCACCTTTCTTTCTTCTAGTCTATAAAAGAATTCCTACAACCAACAAAGAAATAATGTCTCAGCTCTGAAACCTTTCCGTCTCAAACTATATGTTGGCTTTAATGGATATATAAGGGCGGAGAAAATAGATAGTAGGAAAGAGATTAACTCAGCCTTCCTATCAACCATTTCTCCATTTCGACTAACAATTGTCACAGTCTTCTACATTTGACACCCAGGCCTAGCCTAGAAAGAGGAGTTTCATTCCTACATGAAACAGCAAAGAAACACTATTCTTAGTATTCTTAGAAGCAAGAGGCTACAACTGAAGATAGACCTATGTGAAAGAAACAAGGTCTTCACCTCTATCAGACTGTCAGACTAAATCCTTTGATCTCTTTGCTTTCCTTGGATATGGCTTGCAAAACTGCAGGCAAATTTTTAAAAAATCTTTCCTACTTATACCATGAGGAAAAAAAGAGATTTTTTTTTTAAATAGACAAACTATTCTTAAGCCTTTAAGTCATTCTACATGTTTTGAGAAACTTTTGGGGAATCAGGATATGACAAATGTTTTAAATTATTTTAATTATTAAATTTGAGGTTGGGAGTATACAGGTAGCAATTATGGGAAACTAGCTTACTCCTCCCACTCCTCTCTTGTACCAAGTTTAATGTGGTTTACTGGCTACTTTTTATTCTTCACTTCCCCAGGTAGAATTTACTGCTCAATCGCCTTTCTATTCAAAGATCTCAACTGTTCGTTTCAATGTATTCTTTACACACTAACATATTGCTTCAATTTCCACTTGTAAATATCTTTCTTTTGTTCATTTCCTGTCTCCGGACCATTTCATCTTCTCATACACTCTACGCTACACATTGCTTTCAGTGGTTCTCTTTTAATTGTGCTACTCTGCAATTTTGGTAGGAACTCCTGGATTTCATAGGATGCCCAGCTTTTCTTCTTCCGTGGAGGTTATGATGCCATGACAGTAGTCCACACTTTGGCCTCTTTCTTTTAGTAGCGGGGAGTGGTTTTGCACTTCCTGTATACAAGCTGCTTCTGTATTTTAATCAATGCAGAAAGAGATGCAGGACTATATTCAGGTAAGGAATGAGACACAGATAAGCTGCCAGTTTTTGCATCATTATTTTGGTCAGCTGAAAGGACTGCTGTTCAATGGACAAGTTGTAGCATTGTAAGAAAGTAGCAGTGAGGACAATTGCAGGATGCTTTGAATTGGTTTGTGAGAGTTTGGGGAGTGAAAACAGAGAGCCCTATGACCATTTCAATGATACTGAATTGTCTTCATTCCCGTTAGGTCTTGTGTATCCTCTGTTACATGTGCACATCTGTTTCCTTCTCTTGAATCTGGGCAGATTGATTTATTTGTATATTTTACATCTTTCGTATAGCAGTTCTTCTGATCACATAACTTAAGAGAAAGGAATTTTAGAAAAGCAGATCTGCAGGCCAGAAATAACCTTAAGTAGAAAAATCCACAGTTTATATTTTCTGCTATTCATTTTTCTTCTAAAAACAATTGCAAAAGGGAAAACAGGCATCTGAGCAGTAGCCTCAGCCTAGAGGACATGCCTCTCCATACAGTAGTCCTGCTCCAAATAGCCAATTCCCCCAAACTGCTGTTAGTCAAAATTGTTTCCCATACAATTGATAAGTTTTGTTGAACACTTTTTTCACCCATACCTTGACTCATACCCCTATCAGAAAATTACACAGGGATATCCAATAATGGCCAGTATTTCTACATTTCATACAACAGTGAACAATGCCCTATTACCTCTTAGCTCTTGCCACACCATACTGCCTTCCGCATTTTCCTTTTGTAATGAATTTTATGCAGTATAAGCATCATATAGATTTTTTTTGCAAAAGCAAGGAAGATCCCAGAGTACCACAAGTAAACATGCAATGAATTGTAGGAGGTTCCCCTGATGGAGCACTGCATTTGTGCCAGTCAAAAATAGACAACACACTGCGCTAAAAATCTACACCTGGTATTTAATATTTAGAACAGTCTAAGGAGTGGGAGAAAGAAGGAGCTTCAAGAATTTAAACAAATTCTTAAAACAATATGCAGTGAAGAGTGACAGTGATCATGTGAGCTTGGCAATGTATTTTTTCCTGATTACATATTATGAGCCAATTAATGATTAAAGTGCTAGAATAAGACTGGAGAAACATTTCTTTGCTCTTTCTGAGCCCAACCTACTCCAGAAAGTGGTGGTTGTAGAAATAAATGGGAAAGGAGAAAACTAACAATACCATCCTTCTGCTCCTGGCAGAAAGATGAGATAGTAATCTAATAAATATGTCATGTTAGGGATTATGAGATCATGGAATGTGGATTGATGTAATTAAAGTGACATGACTAAAAATTATACAGTTTTGAACTTTAGCTGGAAAAGGATATTTGGTAATTCAAAGAAACCCTTTCTGGGCTATAATTCTCTGCTCAGAGTCCAGTTACCTGGCTAGCAACCAGCTACTAACCTTTCTAATCTAAGAAATGAATGACAAATCTGAACCAAATTGGAACATAGTGAAGTGATTTAGTGTTTGGGAATAATGAGGCTCTAGTTGTCTGGGGTTGGAAGCCACAGAGATGATCGTGGAGAAATTATTCTGAGATCATAGCTTTAGTCATCTTGGGAGTCTGTTTCCTGATTTGCTAAATCTCAACTGACAGACATTTTGTAACCCCAGAAACTCTCTGAGTGACTTTGGGCCAATCATAATCTCTTAGACCACCAAGATTATCTACAAATTTGTTTCTTGGGGAAAAGAAATCCCCTTTGCTTTAAAGCTGCCTTTATGTGAAAAGTCAATAGTTTCTCTCAGCTGTAAATAGCTAACACACTTAGCTATGTTTAATTTAACTTTGATTTAATCAATTAACCCAATTTCCACAGTACAAGGAAATCTAAACTGATCAGATAGTATTCACAATGCTATAAACATAGTTTATTAGTGAATATAGACACAGTCCTTTTAAAGTGTGTTTTCAGTATAAAGCACATATAAACCCTGTTACTAGCCAGGATTGGATAAAAGGCAATGCCTAGAACCACTTGCCACCAAAATGTTATTCTCTTTTGCCATATGCTCCCTATTTCCATTTCCAGTTGCAAATATCCTATAACAATAAGGCAACATAAGAACAAGAATTCCACTCTGCAGTTCTTATCAACTCCTATAATTCCCAGCTAATATAACAACAGTGGTATACAGTAGATAGATCCAGGGTATCAATTCTCCTCTAACTAACTAAAAATGGAAATAGTAATTTCCTTATAGTTAAGGTGGCATCAGGAACATGTTTCTATCTATACCTATTTTGGAAAGCAGTAAGGAAGTAGTGTGCTACTTTATCACTAGTGTATCTTTTAACTTTAACAATAAAAGATTGTTCTTACCTATGGAATGTTTGTTCTTACCTATGGAAAGAACAAGCATTTCGGGCGGGAAAGCTATTGAATATATTATGCTATTCAGAGGCATTTGTGGAATTATTTTACTGTTTTGTATGAATGTCATTATCCTAATAAATGTCTATACATTCCTAATAAATTCAGAATAGTTTTGACTTCTGCTTACTCTTGCTATACTGATGCCTTAGACCAGGTCTATCAAACTTGCAGCCTATGGGCTGGATGCGTCACACACTGGCCACACCCACGCCCGGTTTAGTGAAGTGGGAAAGTCGTGATACATCATGTGATGATGCCATGATAACACAAGTTTGACACCCCTGCCTTAGACTGACCAGTTACATGAATTTAATTTTTTGGCCCTTGATAGCCCAGCTCTTGTTTTTAGGATTATGATTTACAAAACAGCAATTCTCCTTAAGAACTTTTCAAGAAATGGGTTTAGATATGATAGTTTCCATTGATATATGAAGCTTGCTATTTTATTTTTTAAAAATCGGGCTAAAAATTACATTCTTATTCAATAAGTGACTGGCATTAACCAGTTCACAGATCACTAGATGTACCATCTCAAAAACATTTTTTTAATATAACTGAGTTATATGTTCAGGAGAAGCTCACTGTTTTCCCTTTCTTTCTTTCTTTCTTTCTTTCTTTCTTTCTTTCTTTCTTTCTTTCTTTCTTTTCAGTTTTTCTTTAAAAAATTGCAGGTTCATCTGATACTATTGCTGCGTCTGAAAGATTAGACTTTAGGGAGGATTATGGAAATTATATGGGACTATCATGTTGCATTATTGATATAATCCACCATAAATGAACAAAAGACATTACCTTGGTTATTCAATTGTCACCTACAATTAGAAGGTGCTCCTTATGCCAATGGAGAATCTCCATTGCAGAAAGAGGGAGGTCATTTCCATCAACCCCATCCTTTGTACTGAAGCTCTGCTCAAACAATTCCAAGTCCAGAATGTGTCCCAAAGATTTTCAGGTAGAGCAGAAAGAAGAATTGAGCAAAGCTCTTTCCTTAAGCCCAATTCCTGCTGATTTGAGCATTCTATGTGCAAAATGCTACTTCTAAGAGGCCTACAATAGCAGCCAGGAACTCAGCACTGTAGCTATTGATTACTTTACAAGAAGATGAATCCTCATCATTATCACAGTAGCAGAGAAAAAGCAGAGCTATTGCAATACTAGAAGCTCCTGGTTATATTAGGAAGATCAATAGACAGTTTTGGACCTGTTCCTGCCAGCACTCACCACCAGCTTGATCCTGTGAGGACTGCTCACAACCAGTCTTTGTAAAATACCTATCCCATGGTGTAGCATTTAAATCCCATCTGCTGGCTCACTATGAAGAGGGGAAAGGATATTACATATCTGAAGGAAAAAAAGAACAGACTTTTCAAAGGCTTGTTAGCATCTAAGTTTAAGCTAATCCATTTATATTAAATAAGAAAGTAAGTTGTTTCATATGTATCTAGTTATGTACAATTCTACCACAAAACTTAGAAATCAAATACTTACCTCACTACAGACTTCACCCTACTTCATTACAATTTTTCTTCAATATCACCACAGTTCTACCTTCTTCGCTACTCTGAACATCAATATAATCTGATCGAATATCAAGAGGGCATGTCATTTGGTATCTGAAGGGATCCTACAAAAACTAATTGTTTTTCTAGAGGTTTTTAGAGGACAAAGTACTATTAGATGGTATTCGTCTCTATTTCAAGTTTTAACTCTAGTTTGTCTTTGAGAATTGTGGATTGGCCTGAATAATTGAAAACAATTTACAGATCTAAAAATGCTAAACAATATCTTAAAATGGAGGAATGAATGGCCATTCTGCTGAATTTCCTGGCATTACAGATATGTTTCATTTCTAGTCCAGCAAAGTCAAGCCACCTTCAAGTCAAGCTGAACTTCTGGTGACTTTGCAGACACATCCATAGGCTCATCTTGACAAAAGCATGGAAGTCGTTTGTGCTTGTCTTCTTCCAGGACATTTTGCTTAGTCTTCCTAGTCTAGCCTAGGTTTCCTATTCACATACTTTTTGATGCTGATCCCGCTTAGTTTTCAAATCAGCCAAGCTCTGGAAGCTTGTTAATGGCCATAAAGGAAAGATCCAGGGACAAAAAAATGTAGTGTGGAAAGGCAGAGCACATCTCACCAGAGATGTACACTGGAGCAAAGATAGAACAGCTCGCTTTGAGAGCTGTCTCTTAGCTCACCACACCAGTAGGCCCTGCTCAAAAGATTCTTCAGGATCAGCAATTTAGAAAACACCTTTCTTCACCCAAACAACCCTATGGCAGAAAACTTAAAGGTTTCAATAGGGGTCTCAGATTTGTATCCCCATCCAGTGAGCTAATTCTGGGTCATTCTTTGTGAAAAGGATGCCACATAAGCAGTTCCAATTCCAAATCTGATATGCATGCTATCATTAGTTCCAATAGTGCAAGTAGAACTGAATCTAGGTCAAGTTCTGAATTACATACTCCATAAAATAAAAGCTTGGGGTGGGGTGGGGGGCTGGAAATGGTTGGGATTGGTCAATCACCTGGTGGCTCAGAAGGATTTCTTTTTTTAAAAAAAGTCTTGCACAAGCTGCAATAGTATGTGATGCATTTACGGTTATGATCATTTTCTCAGGGTTGCATGGAAACATTTTCTTTCTGAGGGAGAAATGTCTAGTCCTTATCCCCATCACAATCTTTTCTGGCAGTGAAATATTTTTTATGACAAACTGTAACATTTTGGTACATATAATACTAGTACATGGTACTAGTACATGGTTTATATAACACTAGTTTGTAGAGGACCCTTCTAGGTGAAGAGCTCTTGTTCTCAATTTCAGAGAGTTGGCTGTACTCTTCTCTAGATTATTTCATTCCACTCACCCCCACCTCCCTTTTTCTTTTCTTTCCTAATGACACCCTGAATATTTTGTGGCTATTGAATGTTAATGCTGTGCAATGTTTGGATTTGATCTCCAGGATAGACTTCAGACGTTAGAGGGGTGTGAACAAGCCAAGAATATGCCAAGTCTGCTTTTATTTTAAAACAGTTCCTCAACCTCAGCATCTTTAAGACATGTGGACTTCAATTCTCAGAATTCCCCAACCAGAATGCTGGATGAAGAATTCTGGGAGCTTGTGTCCAGACACCTCAAAGTTGCCGAGGTTGAGAAATACTGCTTTAAAACATTGATCCAGGGTATAGACTAGAGACAGCTGCTTTGAATTGTAGACAGGCACAATGTTTTCACTCCCATATACTCCAAAATGTGTTTTAGAGATCACAACCAATGCCCTACACAATCCTTGCAGCTGAAAGGTGTATATATATTTAAATCTTAAGTAACGCTAAGGGCACCAAATGAAAGAACTATGTTCAAAGGGGGATTCCTTCTGTAAAACAAGGTGTACGTGGCAGAATAGTGAAGCAGCAAACTAGTTATGCACTGTTTGTCTATCTGAGGTGCATTGGGTGGGCAATTCAGGAAAATTCCCAGAGTAAAAAAATGGGGTGGGGTGTTTCTGCCAGGTACCAGGACAATAGAGGTAAACAAATAAATGAAGAAGAAAAAAGGTGAATGTACAAATAATTAAAAAAAAACCTTGCATACCATGTCCTGATAAAAACTTCCATAACCTAGGACAGTGGTTCCCAAACTTGGCAACTTTAAGACTTGTGTACTTCAACTCCCAGAATTCTCCAGCCAGCAGAGCTTAAAGTCTTAAAGTTGCCAAGTTTGGGAACCACTGACCTAGGATGTATCATCAGGCAGCACACAGATTCATTGCCTAGTCAGCTTAAGGACTGAGGCATCCCTTCCTCCATCAACCAACATTTGAGCTCCTGACAAGGAAGCACCTTTATCAATGTAAATGAGGGGCTCTGAGCTTTCCATTAAAAAGGATCATCTTTGATTCCCCCCCCCCCCCAGATCCAGGCAGTATTATAGACAAAAGTCTTAACCTGAAAACTACCAGGGGGCTACTTACAGTCTCCTCGTTAGGATAAATAGCTAATTCTGTGCTTCACCTTGTTGGCCCTTAAACTACTGGCTGCTAGGCAAACTACTTGCTCTTTGTTCATGAAATCTTCTGAGAAAGAATTGTATTCATGCATTAGCCTGGCACCATATGGGAACAAAGTAGGTCACTGCAACCTCCAGAGAAGCACACCATTATGTCTCATAAACAAACACTATGGATTATAAAGACCCATTGCCAAAAGTAGCTAACAAACAGGAAATCTGTCTTTGCATATTCTACCAATTTGCAATACAGGGAAATTAGGGTAGGGATATTTATCTGAACAGCTGGAATCTAAAGTAATAGTGTGAAGTGCTCCTAAAAAACATAATATCTTCAATTTGATAATAGTAATGGAAAATGCAAAGATTTTACCTATTTATGGTAAAAGCTTTCATTAGATATTATACCTCTACATAGGGCCATTTCAATGTTTACTTCTCAAACCAAAAAAATTAATAGAATGCATTTGAAATTGAAAATCGAATGACTAGGCAGAATAACTAGCTATAACACAGATACTGTATTTTCACCCATTTTTGTCTTCATGACATCTTCAACCAAGTTTGTCCTAGAAGAAAATTTCTTCAGGGCTCAGAAATTTATGATTGGTTTGCCACAGGCTTCCCACCCAGACAGGTTCACGTGCCACAAAGCATTCCGTTAATTGACAAGCTCACTAACCTTTTGAAAATGTGAAACCAAGCAAAGAAAAAGAAAAAGAGACAAGGATATAGATGCAAAAATGCAGAATGTCTGACTGGATTAAAAAAACCCCCACCTTAACATTTTTAATAAACACACAGGTACCTTTAAAGTGCTAATATAATGCCCTTTTGACCTTCTTTCTCTTAACACAAATAGTATTGTGATTGCATGACTTGTGAAACTGCTTAGCATATAAAACAGTGTAAATTCATACTTAAAATAAATGAATCTATGCCTCTGTGTCATCTCTTACTGGGAAATGGAAAAAGTTTCAAATGTACGTATCTTTTATGACAATGTTTATCAACCTCAGCAATTTTCGGATGTATGGACTTTGACTCTCAGAATTCTGGGAATTGAAGAGCACAGCTCTTAAAAGTTCTTGAGGTTGAGAAACACTGCTTTGTGATGACAATCTCACCTGTACCTATCTACCCCAGTAACTTTTTGAAACTGAAAGATTATCCAAACACTTAATGATTCCTCTTTTGAAAAAGCTTTATGATGTTGCATATAATACATCCTCTCCAATCTTTCTGAAACAGATTATACTGGTATATTTGAGGTAAAATATGTGAATAGCTTTCAGAATCGAGAAATTACAGTCTGAGAAATCTAATGCAGGCTTTGTATAACACAGCATGGAATGTAGTGTTGCATCCTGATTCAATCGGTTCAGTCAGACTTAAGCATGGTTGGCTGAATAAGCTACATCATTGTTCAGTTACAATGCTAAGCCATAAACCTATAAATATGTAGACCCAAATTTCCACAAATTTCAGCAACATGAACACTAGCAGAAGAATTCTCAGAATTGGAATTCAAATATCTAATTTGGAAAGCATCCAAATTAGGAAAAACTGCCATAAAGTAGGGTTTACAAACCATAATGACTAGTCTGACAGAACAGGCTATGGTGCATTAATAGGAACAGCATTTATTGTTGGCTCCGGCTATAGAGCTGGCCAAGACTTATACACTGTTTCATAGTGCTTTACAGCACAGTCTGAGCAAATGTCAGCATATTGTCCCCAATAAACCAGATCCTCATTTTACCAACCTCGGAAAGATGGAAGGCTGAGCCAACTCATGGCTGTAGGCAGAGTTAGCATGCAGTACTGACTTCTAACCACTGTGCCACTAGGGCTCTAATTGTGGTTTGTTTGGTTTCACCATTCAACAGAAAGCATTATCCTCTTGAGCATGGTGTCAAACTTGCAGTGTCACGTGATGTTTCTTGACATTTTTCCCCTTCACAGAGCTGGGGTGAGCATGGTCTGCTTGTGACGCATCCAGCCCACAGGCCACTAATTTGACACCCCTATTCTTGAGGAACAGAAATATACTATATATTCCCTTTATATAATATATATAAATATGTAGTATAGCAGTGAATTAATATCTCTGGTCCTGTGATCATATTTCCTTTAGAAGGCATGCACCAGAAGTTAATTTCTAGCTTGTGTAGACTAAGTTTGCCTAACTTATTATAGACATATTTGTAACCATGCTACTTAAAGTCTTGATCCAAACACCTCCAGTATCAAAACACTATTGAATTGGCATGCACACATTATCTTTTCTGCAGAT